AAGATTTCCTTTAATATTTCCTTTAAAACAGGTCTGCTAGCCACAAGGTCTCAGTTTCTATTTTATCTTCAGTTTTAAAAGTAATAGCTGTATTTTGCCTTTAATTGAAAAGATACTTATTCTTTCTTTTTTTTTTTAAAGATATTTATTCTTGAAATAGAATCTATACTGGGCAAATTTTTTTGGCCCTTTGAATTTTTCAATGACTGACTTATGGCCTCCATTGTTTTCGTCATTGCTTGTATGTGATGAGTTAGTTTTGTCTTGTTGCTTCTAAGATTTTCTGTTTGTCTTTGTAATTCAGTTTGTTTATGCTTTGTCTAGATATTGATTCTTTATATTTGTCCTACTTTGGGTCTGTTGAAAATCTTTGATAAGTAGATTAATGTTTTTCATCAAATTGGTATGCTTTTGTCTGTTATTTTTTCATGTAGTTTTTCTATCCCTTCATCTATCTTCACTCCTGGAATACTCATTACATGTTTCTTGATATAGTTTTGATTGTCCCAAATATCTCTGTTAAAAAAAAAATTAAGTTTTTCTTTATATCAGGTAATCTCTCTTCATCTATCTTAAATTCACTAATTCTTTCATCAGGTTATGTTGAATCTGCTGCGAATTCCCCCTAATAAATTTTCTTGTTTTAAAAGATTTATTTGTTTATTTGAGAGAGAGCAGGTGAGCTAGGGCAGGGACAGTGGGAGAAGGAAAGAATCTCAAGCAGACTCCCCACTGAGCTTGGAGCCTGATGAACATGGGGTTTAATCCCACCACCCTGAGACCACGATCTGAGCTGAAATCAAGAGTTGGATGCTTAACTGTTGGAATCATTAAAGGTCCTCCATCTCTAGTGAATTTTCTTATTATACTTTTTATCTTAAAAAAATTCCATTTTTAAAAAATTTGTTTCATTGTTGAGAATCTCTATTTTTTATTCATTGTTGTCTTATTTTCCTTTCATTCTTTAAATTAAGGTCACCTTTGGTTCTTTGAACATATTGGTAATAGCTGCTTTGAAGTCTTTCTTTAAATCTAATATTTATGGACATTCAGATGGTTTCTCCTATTTCTTTGCATGTTTCATAATTTCCTGTTGAAAACTGGATATTTTAGATTAGCTATTGTAGCAACTCTAGATTATGATTTTCTTTCTGATAGTTGCTGTTGCTTTGTTCATTTGCTTGTTTCTTGGTTTAGTAATTTGCCTAAACTAAGTACAGTGACTCCCTTGTGATGTGTGGCACTGATAAAACTGTTGGGTTTTTCTTTTGTTTTTGTTTCTTAATATTTTTATTTTGGGTCTGCATTTGGCTTTCTAGGACTTGCTCCTGTGTCTTCGTGTCTTAAATTATAAGCTAATTGTTGGACACTGCTTGTGTTTAAACACATGAAGTCAGTAAGTCTTCTGTCATCTGCTGATGGATTTCTGTAGTGTTGGAGGAATTCATTTACAATTTACACTGTTTTCAGGTGTGTTATAGCTTTCACTTACTGTGGAGATCTTTCACATTTGCTCTATATATGTGATTGTTTGGCTTCAGGAATGTGTGACTCCCTATGTTCCTCTCTGGTCTCCATTGCACATTCTGCCAACCTTAGCCAAGAATATGTCTGCCCCAGTTATGACCATGACCTTGGACTAATGGAGTTGTTTACTCTTCCTGCTTGCTTATTTCTAAGATCATCACTTCCACTGAAACACTGCTGGATGTGGGCATAACCTGCCACTCAAGTTCAAGTTACCCCGGTTTGACTACAATAGAGATATTTCTAGTCCTAATGATCTTCCCCACCCTGGAAGAACCCCTTTATTGACTGAGTTGTTATTGATCATAAGAAGCCAAACCAGAATGTCATAGGGTCCTAGTGTTTTTATTTAAAGATTAGCAGTCTTTCAAATAAACATGCTTCTTAAGTTTTTACATCCTTTTGGTGAATTTCTAGAGCACTAAAATTATCGTATTTGTCAATTTTGTATGGCTCTTTAGTTTCTTTTTGGAAGAATATTTGCTGATTGTGCTCAGCCATAGCTGAGAGTCTGACTTCTGGTTTTGTATTATGTATACATTTTTTTTCTTTACTCTCTTACAGTGATGGAAAATTTACATGTTCTATTAATTATTTTGTCTCTGTTTTTCTTGGAGTAAATTTATGTTTTATATTGGATCTCAAATATGAAAAAAAATTTTTTTCTTCAAATGCCCAGTGGTTCTTGGCTGTGCATTCATACTAGAAAACAGAAATTTAAGTATGCTAGAAGTCAGCTAAGGGCCTCAATGATGCCGACTTTTCTTTGGGGCCATCCATACCCATACTGTCTTTCCTAGATTCATTTCTTCAAACACAACACTTCTTCCATCTACTTGTTTTTTTATTACAGTCAGATATTTAATGAACAAGTAAAAGACAAAATACATAGTTGCTTGTACAAAAAGGTAGGGGAGGGAGATTTGGTATATTTTAGCTTCACTTCTTACTCCATACTTCTGTCAGGGATATCAGGTTGTTGTTCTAATTGCAGCACTCTCTGCACTAATTCTAGAGTTTGACTTCTTACTGTTTCTACCATGAATGCTCTTCCCTCTGTATAAATTTGTAGCGATAACTTTCTCATTTCTCATTGTTATGGTTTAAATTCTCTCCCCCAACCAGCTACACATACCTTTATTATCTTTTAAGGGGGCCTCTGAGGGAAGGGGGGGGATGCATGCGGATTGATCTTCCTAACCAAAAATACTGTCCACATATTTTAAAAAAATTTTTAAGTTAACTCTACCCCAACATGGAGCTCAAACTCAGGACCCCAAGATCAAGAGTCACATGCTTCACCAGTGGAGCCAGCTGGGCGCCCCTTGTCCACATATTTTTTTTTAAAGATTTATTTATTTATGATAGACACAGATAGAGGCAGAGACACAGGCAGAGGGAGAAACAGGCCCCATGCCGGGAGCCCGATGTGGGACTCGATCCGGGGACTCCAGGATTGCGCCCCAGGCCAAAGGCAGGCAACGAACCGCTGAGCCACCCAGGGATCCCCTTGTCCACATATTTTTAAACAGTTGCAATAGAATGTGTACATGCTCTCTTGGATCCTGTTTTCACTTCACCATTTAAGCATTTTCTTCATTGCTATAGGTCTTTTAAATTATTGTTTGTAGTGGTATATGAACATATTTTTATTTATTTTTATTTTTAAACATTTTAAAAGAAGCAGTTTGTTGTATTTTAATTATTACAGTGGTTATTATATATTAGTTACTACCACCTCTTTCTTTGCCCTTTTCTCCCTCCCACCATCATGCACATTTACCTTTCCTCAAGTAACCAATGGTAACAACATTGACAGTTTGTAAAGCAGTAAATCTTAATTTTTTTTTTCCCTTTGGTCAAGCTGATTGGCTGAAAGCTATAAAGAAGGGCGATTTGCTCTGGAGCTGGGTGATATTGTCATCAAGAAGGCGATTTCAGTTACTTATGGGTTTTCTAAGAAGTCTTGTGATTTCAGCTATTGAGTGTAGATGATGTGTTGTTTCTCTGTAATGGTATTCTAGCTTTGGCATCTTCATCTTAGTTCTTAGATGGAACTGAACCATTTCTCTTTATAATTCCTTTTTTCCCTTTTGTTCAAATTCAGTTACCAGAGTGGTCAAGTTGACTATTGGGTTGTTTGTTTCTGATGAAATAACAACCAGAAGTCAGTTTGGTATAGTGGATGTTAGTATTAGCCGCTTGCATATAGCCACCAGAGAAAGGAAAGAAGTATGAGGACAATCAATAAATGTCAAAGGAAGCATTTGGAAGCTCCTTCATAGCAGTTTTCTAGTCGACAAAGGCGTAACCAAGAAGTTGGTTTTGCTGATTAACAATAACAAAATAGTCTTTTCTATTAAATAATACATTTATTGTTCAACTTTTTTCTTTTACTTAAGCAACATAAAGAGTAAAAAGCATAGGTTTTGGAACAAAGGTAAAACCCTATTTGTGCATGATGAAAGCCTAAAGAAAGAATATAAGAGTTTGGCAAATATACTGGATAAGAACATCAGTATACAAAAATTATACAAATACATACTTAAACAGAAGATGAAGTTTTTGCAAAGAGATAGTATTTACACTGATATTAAAAATATGAAATCCCTAGGAATACATACAACCATAGATATACAAAATTCCCAAGGGGAACATAGTAAAGCATTACTGTGTAACAATAAAAGCTTAGTAAGTAAAATGGTATACTATACATATAGCTTGGGAAACTCAATGTTTTACAGGTGCTCAACTTCGTCAAAACAGTCTCCAATTCTTGTCTTGTTTTGGTGGGGGTGGAGGAGTATGTGGCAATAGGTTCTAAAATTATATGGAAAGACAAAGAGCCATTCAAAAATAGCAACAATGTACTTTGATGGAGGGAAAGACAAATAGACTGGTGAAAGTGTGGTCCATGGCTCCACAGCATTGGTGGCATTACCTAAAAGCTTCTTAGAAATACAGAATGCCAGGCTCCAAACACTGATCAACTGAATCAGAATCTATTTTAAGAAGATAATCCACAAGAGTGAGAAAAAAAATGATTTTAAAACTGTTCTGGAAACTAAACTGGTAACTAAACAGGAAAAAAGGAATTTATTGAAAGACTGCTTGTTTTATGTGGTGCATCCATCCTTTACTCTGTATAATCTACATTTATTTAGGAACATTTGAAAAATGAATGAATATGAAAAGAATGTTCTAAATGTACATTTTCCTACCTCTAATCTATGGCACCCAGAATCTAGTCTATGGTTATTCAAGTGCCTATAATCTATGGATCATCTTACTAATAATAAGCTTTTCTTAGGTACCCCAACTTTAGTGTGTCTTTATATATTTCCAGCAACTCCTAGCTCATGCCTGTATGTCAGAACTTAATGACAGTACTGTCACTACCAATGTAGAACAGACATTGTGTCTATACCCCCTCCTCTGTGACAGTGGTAAAGTTTTATCTAATTATTTTATAGGTATATTTTGTATACATTGGGAAAAAATCTCCACCGAAAGTAATAAAGGAAAGGCAGCTCTTCTACTGACTACTTGGAAGGAAATAATTTCCCCCTTCCTTGGGATCGGAAGACCAGCTCATTCTTAGAGTCTTCTGAAACAAAATTAGGTAAGAAGTGTTTTTCTTCATATTTTGAATAATTTGTTCTCTCCCTGCTGCGCCTCCTTGGAGGCTTCTATAATTCTCTTCCTTTGGCCTCTAAGAGAAATACAGTTAGCATTTTCCTTGAGGAGGTTAGTGTGCCCGCCAGCTGTCAGCCGAATGATGGACCTGATCTCGTGTGTCAGGGGAAGCACAATTCAATTTTAAACTAAGTCTTCTGCACAACAGTGCAGCCGGGCTGCCAGCATCTCTTTTTTATGCACCTTGCTTTGAAATTCAGCTTTCTCCCCAAACAGCATAGTTTCATTTTTAAATCCTTTGTGTGAGATAAAACCACCACTAACTGACTTTACTTGTCTTTAGTTAAAAATCAATGAATCGAACGAAATCATCTGTAAGTATTTCTGCTACTCTTTCTCATTTCTGGAAAATAAAGTACCACTGCTTGTTTAACTTATGACTTGTCTAAACATGTTGAAAGCATTGACTATAAGGCATAATGTTCAGACTCTGAAAGGGAACTGTGACAAGTTCAGTCAAAAGGGAGAAGAGGAATAATTTATAAAAGGTGCTGCGGATAATGATGCCAGCCAGTTATTTTAAAATGCATCCATCTCACCTTTTAATGAATTAGATTTGTCAACAGCAAATGTTTTATGCACCACTTCTAATAAAAGTGGCATGCTAGGAATGCAGTGCTTTGAGGTTGGCTTCTTCAAAGCTTTAGGAGTATCTTCAATTCAAAGATATTTTTTAAATAATAGATATTAAAAAGTATATTTAAATAATATTAAGGTTGTGACACAAACACCATATGACAAAATTCAGGAGTTTCAAAGCAGACACTGACATGCCGTCACTATATTCATATAGAAACTGTTTTTTAAATTAGGAGTGCAAACAGACTCATTTGGGGATTGTGTGTCAATTTAACTTTAAATTCTCTTGTTGTTTTGGTTGGTGTCACAACCTTAATGTCAGCTTTTCAAATAGGTTTCTACATTTCCTTTGGTTTGGGGTCATTAAAAAATGCATATGATAAATCTAAGAGGCAGAAATAGGTCACACTGTTGTGAAATTCCTTGCTTCTCTGCTGTCGAAAGACAGGTGGAAAAGTTAGCTCAGGCATTTTAGTAAATTTCTGTTTTTCCAGGAATTTGATTCAGACCAGTAGAGACCTAAGTAACAAGACATGAGATGTTGATATCATTCTGTTCATAATCTAGTCTTCTTGTACCTCTCATCCTAACCATTGGATCTTGTTATTTATCACCTCTCTAGATGTTGAAAATCACAATTCCCATGCTTGGTATCTTTTTCACTACAAGTGCAAGATAAGCCTGATGTTTATTTCATTTGAACAATACTTATTCAGTATACTTGAGTGTATGTAAAATCTGCCTTAAACCTTCATGTGGCAGGTTTTATATAAAACACTTCTGTGCAGATTTTCAGGGAGGGAAAAATCTTGTTTTTTTAAAGTAAACTTGTTACAGAAAGTAAAATATAAAGTAAAATCTGATGTATTGTGCATTAAAAAATTTTCTAGTACCCCACTGGACATTAAAGTAGCAACCAGGAGCATTCTGCAGTGAAAGAGCAAAAGGAGAAAGAGGAGGGAAAGAGTAATCTATTCAACCACATTCCTCTTTTTTCCTGGATTCTTTTTTTTTTTTTTTTAAGTTTTATTTATTTATCAGAGAGCAAGCACTAGCACGGGGAGAGGCAGAGGGAGAAAGAAAGGGAGAAGCAGACTCCCCCCACTGAGCAGGGAGCCTGATGTGGGGCTTCATCCTAGGCCCCTGGGATCATGACCTGAGCTGAGGGCAGATGCTTATCTGACTGAGCCACCCAGGACACTCCTCTTTTCTTGGATTCTTAACTGTCATGATTTCACAGCTCAGGTCTGCAATGTCTATGCTGAATCTAGTTTTAACTTAGGAAAATAAACATATTAGAATCTGTCCCATAGTTGTCTTTTTCATCACCTATGTTAGAGATACAAAAGATTAAAAGAGAAACAAGTCACCTATTGATCTTTTCTTGCTGATGCAAAACTGACCAACCTAAAATACCATGTAATTCTCATCTTCTCCTTGATTAAACCACCAGGTTTTACCCTTCCTGGTTCTTATTAATGACTAAGCAAACATTGATGTTTCTTTTCTGGTGTATTCTACTTCATTCCCTCTATCTGTTGTTTTTCATGCAGTGTCGAATTTTAGAAATTTTTAATAGTTTTCATTTGGGATGATGCTATGAAATTTTATCTTCACTTCTAGCCCTAACTTTACTTTTTCTACCCATTGGACCCTCCCATATCACATCATATTAAATCATCATAATTTTGACAAGTAATATTCTTTTTAAGCCCATCTTCAACAGTAAGTGGGAATTATGCAGCATTGTGTAGTGGTTTGAAAATGTGTACGTTTGTCAGTGAAGTTTTGGGCTCAATCCTTTTAAACTAATTTAAACTATACCAGTGCCTTAGGACACCTTTTTTTTTTTTTCTCTCCAGAATAACAAATGGCCTTTTTAAAAATTTTAAAGATTATATATAAATATTTTTATTGGAGTTCAATTTGCCAACATATAGCATAACACCCTGTGCTCATCCCATATAGCATAACACCCTGTGCTCATCCTGTCAAGTGCCCCCCTTAGTGCCCGTCACCCAGTCACCCCATCACCCCGCCCACCTGCCCACCTCCCCTTCCACTACCCCTTGTTCATTTCCTAGAGTTAGGAGACTCTCATGTTCTGTCTCCCTCTCTGATATTTCCCACTCATTTTCTCTCCTTTCCCCTTTAATCCCTTTCACTGTTTTTTATATTCCCCATATGAGTGAAACCATATAATGTTTGTCTTTCTCCGATTGACTTACTTCACTCAGCATAATACCCTCCAGTTCCATCCACGTCGAAGCAAATGGTGGATATTCGTCATTTCTAATGGCTGAGTAATATTCTATTGTATACATAGACCACATCTTCTTTATCCATTCATCTTTCAATGGACACCGAGGCTCCTTCCACATTTTGGCTATTGTGGACATTGCTGCTATAAACATCAGGGTGCAGGTGTCCCGGCGTTTCACTACATCTGTATCTTTGGGGTAAATCCCTAGCAGGGCAATTGCAAAGTCGTAGGGCAGGTCTATTTTTGACTCTTTGAGGAACCTCCACACAGTTTTCCAGAGTGGCTGCACCAGTTCACATTCCCACCAACAGTTGCAAGAGGGTTCCCTTTCTCCACATCCTCTCCAACATTTGTTGTTTCCTGTCTTTTTAATTTTCCCCATTCTCACTGGTGTGAGGTGGTATCTCATTGTGGTTTGGATTTGCATTTCCCTGATGGCACGTGATACGGAGCATTTTCTCATGTGTTTGTTGGCCATGTCTATGTCTTCTTTGGTGAAATTTCTGTTCATGTCTTTTGCCCATTTTATGATTGGATTGTTTGTTTCTTGGGTGTTGAGTTTAATAAGTTCTTTATAGATCTTGGATACTAGCCCTTTATCTGATAGGTCATTTGCAAATATCTTCTCCCATTCTGTAGGTTGTCTTTTAGTTTTGATTGTTTCTTTTGCTGTGCAGAAGCTTTTTATCTTGATGAACTCCCAATAGTTCATTTTTGCTTTTGTTTCCCTTGCCTTCATAAATGTATTAAGATTATATTTTTAAATAATCTCTACACCCAGTCTAGAGCTCAGTCTCACAACCCCAAGATCAAGAGTTGTGTGTTCCACCAACTGAGCCAGCCAGCCGTCCCTGAACAAAATTTTAAAATGATTATTATTCATATGAATATTAGTTCTGATTTCTATTTGATAAAAATGAAAAGTTCTAAACAAAAATGACTGTTTCTAACTACAGAGGAAGCTATTCAAATAAATGAGTCGGAACTCACTGTATACCTGCAACATAAAGTTTTCTGGCAGAGAAACAAGCTATCCTCTTTAAATATTATGGGCCAGGCCAGCTTCATGCAAATTCATTTAGAGCAATTTCAGATTTATGTATTTAATAAAGCTGGGTAGTGGATCTAACTTATGTATTTAATGTCCTTCAATGTACAGTGATGTTCTAGTGACTGCCTGGGAAAGAATGATGAAATTTTATTTAGTGTTTCTGCTATATCAGTCAATCCTATAAATGACTTTCTAATGGGTTACAATATATGCTTTTAATAGTTTTCTGTAATATTAAGTGTTAATATTTATTGGGTGGTTTCTATGTGCCAGCAACTATTCTACATAGTATCTATGGATTATTTCATGTAATCCTCATAACAACACTTTCATGATCTCACTATTTTACAGCTGTGGTAGAGACTCACAAGAAGGTTGCAAAACCAGTAAGTAATGGAGTTGGAGATTACACACCGGGAGATCACACACCAGCAGTGGGACTCCAAAGACTGCATTCCAAACCCTCACTACTCAAAATGTGGTCCCTGGGCCAGCAGTAGTTAGCACAGTTCTAAACCACTAGGACCTCTTGCCTTTATATACAGAATAACTTTTTTTAAACTGATTTTTTTTTTAATTTGCAGTATAATACCAAATTCTCATCTTTATTCTATTTTGGGTATTCTTATCATATATAAAGTGTATTACAATGAAATCCAAAAAGCAAACATGGGCAGGGATCCAATGTAGACCCAAATTATCTTGGAATCAATTGTGTAAAGAACAGGGGGAGGAGTGCCTAGGTGGCTCAGTCGGTTAAGCATCTGACTTGATTTTGATTCATGTCATGAACTCATGGTTATGACATCTAGACCCACGTCGGGGCTCTGTTGGATGTGGAACCTGCTTAAGAGTCCCTCTCTCTCTGCCCCTCCCCCACATTTCCCTCTCTCTCTCTCTCTCTCTCTCTCTCTCTCTGAAAAAAAAAAAAAAAGAAGAAAGAAAGAGAGAACAAAGAACAGGGTAGGCAACATCCCAGAGTGTAAACAGAAAGAAGTCTTTTTCTCTACAAAGTAGCTAACTTCTTCAAGGC